TTGGTTTGGACTTTCATGCGCTACCACCATACAAGTAACGAGGAGCAAGCAATATTCCCTCTAATTTTTTCCATCCGTGTGCGGAATAAATTTTGTTATATGCACCGAGGTATGTGCGGATGTGCGCCACCAGTAGAAACAAAAAACCTAGCTATGATATATATTTTTAAAAAGTTAAATCGGGATAATTACTCCAGCCAGGACAGATTAGGCATTTTAGAACTCACTACTCAAAGAGTTTAAATTTAAGTGTAAGAGAAATAACAATTATGAAATGCATAGACCAGTCAAAACACTAAAATAACACTCTTTGAAAGAATAAAATTACAGAGAATATATGTGCATTGCAGGAATTACCAAGAAGTAACAACTACGATAATGCAAGTATGTGTTGGGAGGTGAGTGTGACACAGAGACTGTGTGTGTTTGACAGTATGTGTGACCCAGTGTGTGTGACTGAGACAGCGTGTGACTGAGTGTAATACAGCGACTGTGTGTGTGTGTGTGTGACACAATGTGTGTGACAGAGACTGTATGTGAGACACACAATGTGTGTGATACAACGACTGTGTGTGTGTGTGAGAGAGCGAGAGAGACCCAGAGACAGCGTGTGTGCTGGCTGTTGGGAAAGTTTCTGAGACGCCCTGCGCTGTCTCTTTAAGAGACTCACTGAAAGCTCTCCTGCTCTGTCCTGATCCCTGTTGTCTCCCCTCCCCCGCTCTACAGAGATGAGGGGTGGGGGGAGAGAGAGAGAGAGAGTGTGTGTGTGTGTGAGAGAGAGAGAGAGACAGAGAGACTGTGCGCTAGCTGCTGGGGCGATCTCAGAAACAGTGCACTGTCTCTTTAAAAAAGGCACTCAGCCACTCACCCTTCCCCGCAGCAGCTCTGAGCCAGGCTGTGTCCCCTGCTCTGCGGAGATGGGGTACAGTGGCAGGAGGGGAGGGGGACACCCTGACATCAGCACCCAGGAGCAGCTGCAGGATGGAGCAACCTGGGAGGGAGCACCTGAACACATGCTGCCCTCCTAATCAGCTGGGTGGCACTTAAATCTCTCCTGCGCAGCACGCCCAGCTTACAGGGAACACAGAAGCAGTACTGTCATAGTTAAAAGCAGGCTGTGATTTGGTGCCTGGACTGGCAAACTACTTTTACAGCTTTTCAAGGCAATCAGCTCATCTGATTCTAAGTATGAAATTGTGAACAGCAAGTGGTGGAAGCCATCCCTGACTTATTTGATACTGCAGTAAAATCCTAATTCTCCTCAATGAGAATTCATTTCCCTGCAGTGTAGTTCTTGGATTCTAGACAGCTGTTCTCTGAGTTGGATTCCAACCCTGTGTATATTCCAAGCATTGGAATGAATTTAAACTTGAATAAATCATAATAAGGTAGCTAGTTTTGTGTCTGTCGTATCTCTCATAGTCTTCTAGGTTCTGAATGCAGTGAATGCATTCTTAATTCACTAGGAATCCAGTTATAATGCATTTGTGGAAAACTAGTTTTCACTGTGGGTCCTTTACAGCGCTGCATCATTCAGGATTGTTCGTGATCTGACCATCAGTTGTACATAGTTCATGAGCTTTATAATAAATATAAAATCCAAAATATAGTAATTTTATGCAGACTTAACAGATGTTGCAATTGCTAAAGACTGCTAGGCTTCAGCACTTGTGAAACGATTCCCAGGGATGGTGCCTATATGCTGTTTTTGTTTTTGAGCTTCCCAATTCTGAGAGTTTGGAAACAGTCAGCATGAACAGCTGGAATTCCAGGCTAACACGAACCTTTTAGATCTTCCATTCAGCATAATGCTAAGGTCTGTGCTTTTGATGACTTGAACCTGTTTGCAAAGTTTGTGTAGCACAACACCATGACCTGTCAGTATCTAAAGGCAGAGGCGTAGCAGATAATTTTGGGGAAAGGACCGAGGTGTATGTTAAGTATCAGAGGGGTAGCCGTGTTAGTCTGAATCTGTAAAAAGCAACAGAGGGTCCTGTGGCACCTTTAAGACTAACAGAAGTATTGGGAGCATAAGCGTTCGTGGGTAAGAACCTCACTTCTTCAGATGCAAGTAATGGAAATCTCCAGAGGCAGGTATAAATCAGTATGAAGATAACGAGGTTAGTTCAATCAGGGAGGGTGAGGTGCTCTGCTAGCAGTTGAGGTGTGAACACCAAGGGAGGAGAAACTGCTTCTGTAGTTGGATAGCCATTCACAGTCTTTGTTTAATCCTGATCTGATGGTGTCAAATTTGCAAATGTGTATGTTGTTCCTTTCAGACCATGTGGGCTGATTGCCAGCAGTCAGAGCCCTAAACCCAATTTAGAATCATTAGAATTCTAACACTGTTATTGTCTAAAACTAATCACTGTGTGGATGCTCTTGGGACCACCCCTAGAGAAAGGGAGGCTGACCATATCTTCTTTTGCATGTGTCAGTCACACTTGTCACCAATTTTTTTGCTCCGTCATTTCAGATGATTATTCTAGGCTAGGGCTCAGAGGTTTAACTGATGATAAATGTTGCTAAGTAATTTTTCATGCAGAAAGTGCTGTGTCGGGCCTTGTATAAGGAGGGAACCAGGTGATTCCCTGTGTGCTGAATCAGTTCCCGTCATAGGAAAGCCACACCATCAACTTCTCCTAAGAACAGCAGCTTCAGTGCTGTAACACAAGCACCATGAATCAGCACTTTAACCAACTAATATGTGCTTAGTCATTGTGTGAAAGTGCACGCTCAGCTGCAACAACCATGGGGAAATGTTTACATTGTGCAAACTGTGAACATGGAGCTTCCCGTTTTCTGTGTGTTAAATGTGGTTTGAACTTTTAGCTACTCACTAGAGAGAGCAAGCTTAGTTAATATGGTATTCAAGGTTAGTAGCTTAACCTTCTAAGTGCTAGGTTCTTCTAACAAGCTTCGCACCATGTTATTAAAATATTGCTCACACTGTTGTGATCTTCTGTATGTGTCCACAGAGCACAAGAGTGTCCTTCTGCTGAACACATCCAGCTCAATTCTGATCTCTGGTATGTGTACACAGAATGCTGTGTTATGTAAAATCAGCTATTCAAAAGCATTGGCAGAAACTGACATCATAAGATTTGCGGCATTAAGCTCTGGAGTTGCTTTAAGGAGTAGTGCTTCAGTGCTATCTGTCCAACCAGATTAACAGGAGAGAAACAAGAGGCAAGCCCTGCCTATCTGTTTGTACACTGAGAAAGGGTGTAATCCCCGCCCCATTCCCCTCAGCATGAAATCGGGCTGAGGGCTCTGTGACAGTGAGAATTTTCTGTAATTTTGTTAGGAATCCTAGGTTTGTTTCAATTTCCCCATTATTTTGAATGCCCACCCAGTGGGAGAAAAAGGACTCAGTTTGCTCTCAGGGCAGGCTGAGACATAGGTGTGTGTGTGTGTGTGTGTGTTGCCTAGCTGTCTAAGCCGGAATGGGCCATTAAAAAGGACGGGCCTAGACTGACACTATATCAGTGGAAAATCTGAGAAGACAATGGAAAACCCAGTCACCAGGACATTGGCACCTAGCAGCCAAAGACCCAGAGGGAGATGGATGGAAAGTTCTTTGCAAAAGTTGGAAGGTTTGTATTGAAAGAGGCAGGAGACTGCAGGAAGAGAAATAAGTCTCATGGTCAAGGCAGTAGAATGCCACCCAGGAGAACTGCATTCTATCCCCGCCTCTGCCACAGAGGTCCTATGTGATCTTGGACAAGTCACTTAAACCAAACTCTTTACAGGTGGCTGCAAATCTTGTGTGCCTCATTTGCTGTGTGCCCTATTTGAGACATCTTGGGCCAGATATGCAGAAGTGCTGAGTCTTTATGACTGCAAGTGATACTCCTGGGGGAATTCTGTGCCACTGCGCACATGCATATTTCAAGTGCCATGTGCATATTTAATTTTTTTGCAGAAAATAGCTTCTGCTGAAAAGTTACTGCAGTTCCAGCTTTTGCCACTGGAGGGCGCTGTAGCACTAGAACAGAGCAGCTGCTCCTGGCAAGCCCCAGACCGGATAGGGAAGAGAAAGAGCCTGCCTTCTTCACAGCGCCTGTTGGGGCAGGTCAGGAGACGGGGATTATGGGGAGACAGCATGGGGCTGCTGAGGGGTTCACAGACGGAGGCTCATAATGGCTAGTGGGAGAGGACAGACTGGGACGGGGGCTGAATAGGAGTGGAGGCGCAGGGCCATGGGGGAGGGAGGTGCAGGGCTACAAGGGGAAGGGGTATGATGAGTGGGGGCACAGACACATGGGGACAGGAGGTGCAGGGACACATGGAGATGAGCGGAGGGGGCTGGCTGAGGGGGTGCAGGGACATGGGCAGAGCTACAGGGGAAAAGGGGGATGGCAGAGTGGGGGCACAGACACACGTGGGGACAGGGGTAGATGTGCCTGACTGAATGGGAGAGGCTAGGGGTCATCCAGGGTCTGCATGGGGACACTTCCTAACAATCCGTCCATGCCCCGCAAAAAAAACCTGTTTCATACTTTTCCCACCCATACCTAACAACCCTTCAAGTTCATATCCAGGCTTCTTCCCAGCAATTATTTCCCTCTCCCTCAGCTTCTCCATTACCCCTGACTCCCCCAAGCCTTTGAACAGCTTCTGAGGGGTGCCGGAAATACGGTTTTGTACTGTAGTTTAAATGAATTATTACTCAGAGTTCTGTATTAATGTGCCTAGTAAGGAATCTATTTGTCAAAAAACATTTCCTGACTTTTTGTTGTTGTCTATATTGTTACGGACATACTTGCTGACAGGTATTTTGAAACCAATTACCAACATAATTGAAACTGGTGTGATTATATTGTGTTATTTTGACAAATAAAATGTGCAGAATTTTTAAATCTTTGGTGCAGAATTTTTAAATTTTTGGCACAGAATTCCACTGGAACTGTGCTTTGAACAACTGAAGTGCTATAAAATGCTAAGTACTCTGAAAAATCAGCCCTTAGGGTTTTGGCACCCAAAATTAGTGGTCATGTGACAATTTTGGCTTTAATCTCTGTGCTTCAATTCCCCAGATGTAAAAAGGGTTAATAACACCATCAAATCTCTTGAGTGTAGTGGCAATAATCATTAATATTTGATGCACTGAACTGCTTATTAAGTATCCGTACTGTGGTGAGAGAACCGTAAAAATGCCCGGGAGGAAATTAATCTTTATATTCAGGGCAGGGTTTGAACCAGTGTGTGTTATATAAGGCCTGGGGTCATACATTGAATGTGGAAGATAAAAAGTTATCTATTTAGTTATCTATCTGAATAACTACCTATTCTTGAATGCGGCTGGTTCCTGTGGAAAAAATAGTGTGAGATCCTGTAATTGAACTCTGTTTCATAATACATACACACAAGGGGGCTGAATTAGGGTTGCATGGCCAACCTTAATTCTAGCATTTCCTAAATTTTGAGCGCTTGACTTCGAAGCCTTAATGTTCTTTTAATGTAGTTTTTGGATGTAATTACCTGTATGTTTGTTTATAGACACCTTTCTGTGTTGCTGTGTGATCCATTATACTGATTCCCCTTGCTGTCTAATTGAGCAGGTGTTCTGGCGCTCTGGGCCCTAATCACGCATGTGATGTATGTGCAGGATTACTGGAGGACCTGGTTAAAAGGGCTGAGGTTCTTCCTCTTCATCGGGATCCTCTTCTCTGCTCTCTCCGTGGTGGGATTTTGCACATTCCTTGTTCTGGCCATCACCAAGCACCAGTGTAAGTATATTGTACCAAGAGTGATCATGGGGAGGTCATCAGGAAGGCTGGAATTAATGGGATTGTAGAGGGGAGAACAGGCACAAATTAGTGACTTGCCCAAGATATTGAAATTACTTCTAAGCACCTGTCTATTCAGCCTTCATAAATCAGTTTGGATTGGAATTTTGCCACATAAGCCTACAAGTCCCTAAACTCTTTGCATCAGGGTCTGTGCCTGTCAAATCTCCAGCACACCATGTAAAGTTACAATGCTATAAAATATTTAACAATAAGCCAAAGAGGAAGGGTCAGTATTGTTGGACTAACTTTGTCACCCCCAGGGATTCATTAACACCATGTTGGCTGGATGGAACTCACTTTTAAAAAACTGTTCACATTTGTGATATTTATGGCTAGACAGCCACCCAAACAATCCCATCTGCCAAGGATTGGCAGGGTTCATTGGGAACAGAGCCTCTTAACTTCCCTTCGTTTAGATCCAAGCGGAGTTCTTCTACAGAGATTTGAAGATCTCCTTTCATTGTGACCGTTTCTAACACTTCAGTAGAATATGTTAATTGTGCCCAGTTAGTCAATTCCCACCACAGCAAGATGTGGACTTGGGGCAGGGGAACAGTGAGAGTTACTGTGACTGATAGTGTGGCTTTGGGGCTCCAGAAACAACACTACTTAATTTGCATGCTTTAGTCTGGACTGCACAGCACTTTCCTGTGGCAGAGATGGAGAGACCATTTGCCTACAATATAAGACCGCTGAAGATCTAAGTGTGTGTGAAAGCCTTGTGCTGAACCACCTCTGAGAGGCATGGAGCACTGCGTTCCTAGGCAATGGCACTTACCATCTCTAGTGCCCCATTTTACGCTAGCTGTTTTCTGATGAATAACCAAAAATGCTTCTTTCCTTTACATCTCCGTGAGCTCTGCACAATATGGGCAGTTGATACATAAGCATATACCAGTAGTGTAAGATCTTTCAAACCATGCAGGTTTTTCAGACTCAATCATTAGATGCATGATCATCCCAGTTTGCTTTAAGTGACGTGGAATAAGCTCCAAGCAAGAGTGTTGTAGGGCTCTGTGAGTGAGGCTGGGTCTCCTCTGAAAGACTGGGAGTGTAGAGAAGTAACAGCATTCCTCTCGTTCCTCCAGTTAGCATGCCTCTCTCATGCTGTCCTGCTCTGCAAATGCTTACAACACTTATGCTATCAGCTATTCCACTGCATGCAGTCCTGTGCTCCCTTCAGTGTCCCTTCCTGCCACTAGCAGGGAAACATCCTTCTTGCTATGTGTGTGGGATTCCTCTCTTCTCCTCAGAACCCCCAAATCAGCCGAGTTCCTAGAAAACAGAGGTCTTTTCAAATGGAAAATGAACAGTTGTGTGGAAGCATGTTCCGTCGTGTAACCACAGCTCTCTACTCTCGGACCCACTTAGCCGTAATATTGAGCTGGCTGTTGGGTTGGTAGCTGTATGATTGGTGTTTTGCTGCAATCGCTGGTTACACACCTGGAGGATCCTTAATGGGAGGAAGGGAATGGCTTCACAGAGTGAAGAAGGGTCACTGTCCCCCTTGGTCAGAATAGCATCGTGCGTGGATCTTCCTTGGCGATGGCACGAGTATCCTTTCCATTTGCTTGGAACTGGATTCAGGTTGAGCCTCCAGGACCCACTGCTCTTAGAACTACAGAACCCTAAGCAGAACTGGTGCAGTTCAGTGGCACCAGTGCACACAGCACAGCTCGCAAACCTCGGTTACTCCTGGAGACAGGAGCACAAGTCTTCTGTTGAACGGGAGCTTGGAGAGAGGTTCTTCCTGGGACAGTCTTTTACGGTGCATGTGTTGGTCCTGCTTTGAGCAGGGGGTTGGACTAGACGGCCTCCTGAGGTCTCTTCCAACCCTATTCTTCTATGATTCTATGTGGAAATCTAAAGGGGGATTTTAAATATACCTGGCTTCTTTTCTTTCCTAGCCCTGACTGACCCCAGCAGCTACTACCTGTCGTGTGTCTGGAGTTTCATCTCCCTGAAATGGGCCTTCCTGCTCAGCTTATACTCACACCGGTACAGGAACGAGTTTGCAGACATCAGCATCCTCAGTGACTTCTGAAGCTTGGACTTAATTCTGTCGGAAGCTGCTGATGTTTGACTGGGCTTTCGGATGCCCTGCGCTGGAAGGAGGCTGCGAAGAGGCAGAGAGCAGGAGCCAGCCCAGCTCCGCAGGACTCGTCTGTCTGCAGTAGGGGTTTTCCCTAATTGCTTTTATTCAACCGCTTAATTTGGCTAATTATGTCAATCTAGTGTTTTTGTTACCCTCCGGGGAGTCCATGTGTCTGGCAATGAGTCAAGAAGTTCCATGCACTCACATGCAGCAAGCCTCAGTTTGCTATCTGCATTGCTCTGCTGTGATCGTAGACCAGTGACTTTCAAACAGGAAAATGGCAAATTAGCCTGTGGATGCAGCACCTGGTTAAGAATTGGGCATCTTTCGCTTAGCCAATGACTCACCAGCCTGCTCGTGGGGGTGCCCGGGGTTGCTTAGCAGAGGACCATGCCCTGTGAAGGGAGGTCTTTATTCTCACAGGGTGATTTGAGCGGGGGGGGGTGCATGTTGTTTCCCAGCACCGGGAAGGACAAACCCATCGATACCTCCACACCAGCCCCCCAAACCTTCAGCATTTCATTGTGCTTCTTCCTGTAAACAGTTGGGCCAAGAATAAGGCATGGTGCTGGCTCCACCCTGCTGTTTAGAGCACATGCATCCCCTTGTGCAGGCCAGAAACAAGAAGTCAGCAATGCAGTGTCAGTTGCCTCAAACAGAGGTCACTGATGGGGGGCGGGAATCCAGTGCTGGAGAGAATCAATGCTAGCTGAGCATTGCACCCTGTTACCTTGTGCTGCCTGTTAACCCAGGATCATTCTCAAAGGAAACAATTTTATTACAGCACTTAAGAGTGAGAGATGTAGCAAGTGGCATCTGACGTGTGGGTAGTGGGTGCCCTGGGCAAGGGGCTGGGCTGTTTGAGTCTCAGAAGGGTCGTGAATGTGTGTGATTCATTGTTTTAAAGCAGTCTGTACATTTGGAGGGCATTGTGTGTGCTTCTGTTCCTGTCGTGATTCTTGTTCTGTTCCACTGTAAACCTGCTGACTTACCACTATAGACCATTAGTGCTGAGTGGCTCCAAGTAGCATAGGGAGAGAAAGCAAGAGCTCAGCACATCTGTGCATCCTGCAAAGGCCAGACCCGCCGTAGATTGCTGGCTGCCACTCGGTGGAGGCGGCTTCTTCCTGCTTGGAGCCTGGTGTAGGGCACATAAGTCACTAGCAGTTTGCCTGGGTTGCTAAAGTTCTACAAACGTATGCTCTTGAGCATAAGATGGGCTCCCACTCACCTACGGCCAGATGAAATTGCTGATGGCAAATGGGTTGCAGGAGCACAGCAGAGGAGGCCAGGTGACGAAGCTACCCTGGCTCTTCTCCACGTTTGAAAAATACATCGGAATGTACCCAGTAGGCAGCGTGAGCAGATCTCCATGGCAAGTGTCACCAGTACAATACACTGATTCGGTGCCCCCTGGTAGGTCTGAACTTCACGGGACCTGCTGTGGGAGAAGTCACACTGAGTGCTCCTCCCCCTCTGCTCCGGGGAGGCCCTAGCACTGAGATTTTGCTGTGTCCGCTCCTCTCTCATACACTGATCACTTGGACACTCTGAGTAGGTTTAATGATCTTTCACCCTTGTGTTTGGTCCTTGTTAATATTCACCCTGGGAAACGTCAAACTGCAGGCTGTTGCTTTCTTTCCTTCAGTTGCTCATGCATACACTTTCCATTCAGGGTAGCTCTTGGGATGATTTGCTGGAGGTGTCTCATCAGCAAGGGGCAGTTGGCATTTCCTTTTTAATAAATTAAAATAGCAGCTGTGTGTGATTGTTTCTTTTGTGCAGGTGGGTGGGGGCAGAGGCACTAGGAACTCCAAGGCCTGGCAGATTGAGAGGTGTCAGGGAATTGGGCTGGTGGAACTGGACTGCTCCAGTACATGTGCATGGTCACAGGTTCAGTTGTAAAGTCACGTCTGTATATATACTACTGAAAAAGTCTCCTGAAACATAGGGTCAAAAAGATCTCCTAGGCAATCCAGAGAATGTAAAGCACAGAGGAAACTGCATAGGGTGCAGTGACTAGGCGGTGAAGTAGGTGTGCTGGGGCTTTACCTGTTTGTGTTGTGAGGCCTCTGTGTCTTAAAGCAGAATGGGTTCTTTGTGCTGACGTCTGTGCAGTTGTCCACTGGGGAGTAGCTTGCGGTGTCCAATGTAGTGTGTCTCTCTAGCTGCATTCTCTCACCTCTACATGCCTAACTCAGCAGAAATTTCCAGAAAGCTTTTGTCTCCCCAACCACACCCCATGCTGTCCTGTGCTTGGTTTGGAAGATCAGTAGTTTTGAGCACATGGCTGGGTTTGTTAATTATTTTTGTTAAAGGGATTTTCAGTCTTTGAGATTCATTAAATATAAACATCCTTCTGTTTGTGGGGCAGAGACCCTGACGATTGAGAGCAGCCTCAGAGCAGCTTCCAGGGAAAAGCAAGGAGTGAAGGCTCAGACTGCAGCCAACACCTCCCAGGGCAGCAAATGCTGGTGAGACAGGGCCACTAGAAATCCTCCGAGACATGCAGGAATCTCCAGTGCTGAGCAGAGACTGCAGCTCTGAAATACCCATTATAGAGATTAATAGTTAGGCTCAGAATTACTGAAACGCCCCCTAGAGGTGATGTTGGCAGAAGGCAGCGTGAGACCCCTGACTGGGTGAAATGGGTGCCCCTGCCCTCATGGCAAATCTGTGACAAGGCAGGAAGGAGGCTGCCTGTGGATTAGACATAATAATTTCAGTGTTTTAAGTTGTGGTAGTTTAATCCCCCACCTAACAGCTCACATTGTCCCGCTCCTGGGAGGGGATCCTGAACAGTAAGAGCTGCTGACCTCAAACTCAGAGGTTTATCTTGGCCCTAATGTTATTCTAAAGGTGGAACTATGTCTCCATTCGCTTACTGAATTACCTGGTGGACTCCTCTCTCAGGTTTATACCCAAAAGGTCCACAGCAGCTCACCCTGGAGGTTGTGGGGGGCTTTTTTTGAGTGACAGTAACTTTGCTTACAAACAACCCACTTACTCAACCCCCGTCTTCTCTCCACCGCGTTTGCTCTAGAACTTGTACTCGTGTCACAGCTTTTTAAAAGATTGTGTATGTAAATATATAATATATTTTTACATTGTATTCATGCTTTGTTTGCACGCTCAGTAAGGATTGGGTCATGTAGCAGGAGTGTAATTCATGGGGCGGGGTTCACTTCCATGTATCCCAGTGTGTGTCTGATGTTGTATTAACCACACTGTGTAATTTGTATGTGACACCATAGTAAGAGCAGAAATACAGTATTCTCTTTCTCACCAAACCAGAGTGTCCGGAGTGATTACCTGTCCTGTAGGAGCAAAGCTCTTCCCGGTTGCAACAGCATGTTTGCAGAAATCATTTTTAAAAACTGTTTTAAAATGATTTTTGAACACAGTGGAAACTAGTGTGGATGGGCCTGGGACCAGAAACAGAGAACTCGTTAACCTGCACTCAGCTCCCATCACTCCCCGGTCGCAGCAGCATTAACATCCAGACCTGCATTGTGCACTGTCTTCTGTGAAAACACCAATTCTCCAGGGCTTGCGCTGCTGCTCTAACAGCAACCTCCTCCCTAGGTTTCAGAGCCTGAGCTCCAGCCAGCGGTTCCACTTCAAAGCGCTGGCTACCCAGCGCCTGTTGGCTTAGCCGGGCTTGTGCCAGCACACTATGTCTGCCAAGCTGGGCTGGCGGGCTTGCTCCAAAATGCTGCGTGGACATACCCCGAGGGACATGTCAGATGTTTGAGGAGGGTGTGAGACAAATTGCATTTAGCATGGGTGAGGGTAAGCTGCCCCATGTGTGATTCACACCCTCCACCCGTGAGGCTGCGTTGCCATGCCTGTTAGTTCAGGGCTGGGCCACTGCTTTGGGGTGGGCATGTTCGGCTGCTACTGTTTCCTCCGCACGTAGCCCAGTCTCTCAAACCTCAGCGAACAGCACACCAGTTACAGCACTGTCCCCAACAGCAGTAATGCTGCATGCACCCCAGGCTTAACCTGCCCCTCCCCCAAGCGCCCACAGAGCAAAGGTGCAGCGTGCCCTGACTCTGGTATACCAAGGGGAGGGTATCCCAGCATCAAGGATCCCTCACCTCAGACATGTTGCCTGCAGCCCCCTTCCCTTTAAATCAGAGGAGTTGTAGAGCTTTCATCTCTTGTTATAACTGCAGCTTTGCATGGGGAAGGGACAATTGTGGTTAAGAAAGTAACAAACCAGGCTGGGCCAATTTGTTGCTTCCGCTGGAGGAGGGAATGCGGGATTCCACACTACTGTCACTGCTACCCCTCTATACAGCCTGGCAGTCAACCTGCTGTCTGCAGCATCCAAAACACAGCAAGCCATTCATCTCTCTTCACTGAACGTTTGAATCCACCCCACGCTCCCAGAGCCTTTGAGAGCGTGACAAATCCACTGCCACAACGTGTCCCTCTTTGGAAGGAAACCCACAATAATGCCCCCTGGATGCTCAGCTGGGAGCAGTGCCCCCGCTGTTGCTTTCTTCGACAAGGCCTCATGGCAGTGGTGCATGATCTCAGAGGAGAGACTCCTGCAATATTGCACACGCTGCACCACTACCCCCTGGAACTCTAGGCAGCAGAAAGGCCTCGCGGCAAAGAGCGCAGCAGGATTCTTAAAGGATGAGGCGCTTCTCTGGCTCATGAGACCGTCCAGTTATGTTAGACAGGATGAAACGTGTAAGAGAAGCGGCTTCAGGCTGTTAGCGGAGTGCTGTCTGCCATTGGCTTGGTGCTGTAAGATGGTCTAGTGGGAGGTTACAGCTTTCTGTGCAACACCAAATGCTGACCTCTTGGAGACAGCACTGGGCTAAATAGTCCCTCTTTCTGGGACCTGAAACTGCCCCAAGCCCCTTTTATCCCCTTCTAGGCCCTTTACCCTCTCATCAGCTTGGCCAGAACCTGCTGCCAGCCTTTTTTAACCCATGTCTGTGGCTCTTGATAGCCTGGGCAGTTCTTGTTTCTAGTTTCCCTTGAGCATCATGACCCTTGCACTGAGAGGTGCCCGGGGAAAAACTGGCGCAGCTTGTGGGCATTTCCTCTGCAAGCTCCCCCCATCTCTATCCTCCCCAGTTCAATTCATGCACCTCTTGAATGATCTTAGATCTCCTTGCTATTCTGTTCCTGCCCCACTGGCATCTTGAAAGCCTGACTGACAGTCCTGGTCTTCCTATAGGGACAGCTCTGTTGATGCATCTCAATCCTGACCCACAGCTCCCTGCTATCCCAGCCCTGGGCTGCCCCAGTTCTGCTGATATCCCTCAATCCTGACCCACAACCCCCCTGCGTTCCCTATGCACGCACAGTCCCCTCAGTCCTGGCTGGTTGCATAGCCTCCTATCCCAATGCTGACAGTACTTTACAGCTTCACCAGTATTTGTGTTGAATTCCCTTTGTTTGTTCGTGACAGCCCCTTTGAAATTTAGGTTGGGTCAGGTTTTCACTTAAAATGGGAATTCACTCTTTGTTTTCCGGGAAGAATCTTCCCTCAATTTAGAGCAAATAATCTGTGGGTAAAGAGTGAATTTTCAACTAAATCTATTACTTAGCACAGGGATGTAGTAGAGGGGCACAAACTCCACTAAAACCGTTTGGCACGCCATCCATGGGCAGGGGGCCAGAGTGGGAATGCAGGGGTGGGTGCTC